GATTTGCAGATCAATTAGTGTCCCATTCCCTGAGATTCCAGGACCAACTTCTAAGAGCAAGGGGTGGATCCTTGTGATGTAACAAAACTAGGGTGGGGAGGGACACATATATGACACACATGTAAACATCTATGTGCTGAGCCGATAATCCCTGGTGCTAGCTTGGAAAGTCACTGTGCACACGCACATGCATAATCAGTCAAACTTTTCCCTCTTCTGCCACTTGCCCTTATAAATATCATTCCATGCCTCAAGACCCAGGGAAGCAGAGAAATTCTCTGAGACTTCAGCCAGAGCTCTGGAAAAAGTAAGCCTAGACTAAATGCCCCTATTCTGATCCTCTATATTGTGAATGGGGCAAAGGCGGCAGTAAACCAACTGTGGCCACCAGTGGCATCCATTCCACCCACATTTCAAAACACACACACACACACACACACACACACACACACACACACACACACACACACACACACACACACACACACACACACACACACACACACACACACGTTTATGGTCAAAGCAGGGGGCTCAGAATGTAACAATTTTCTGCTGAGCTTCAAGAAGATGCCTCATGACCTTCACACCTGAACTTTCCCAAAAAAACAAATTCACACAGCTTGTTTGTCACCATTTTCAGGCTAAGGCGGGCCACACTGAGAGTTGGGGGTTCGAGTTTGGCCCGCAGGACTTCAGGCCTTGCCATTCCTATCCCATATGACAGTTACTTAGAGGTGAGATGAGACATGCCCTATCATCATCAGATTCTCAGCTGAAACACCATCTGGAGCTTCTCTACTTGATGGTCAGAGATCTGGCATTGTATTGTCTTTGCCTTCCCTGTTTTGGAAAGCACACTCGTCCAATGTTCCAGGAATCTGGACCAGAACCACATTCTCAAACCACCATCTTCTATATATGGCTGGCTTCACATCTCTCGTACTTTCTCTACTTGGAAGAAGTGAACAATAAAATGTCTTTCCCTTTTGCTTGCAATCAGCCAAGGGGATTCCTCTGCCCTGTGGGAGGAAATGTGAACTTGGCAACCACTGCCACTCTATTCTCCCACCTCCACCATCTTTCTTAGCACTATGGAAGCCGTGGGCAGAATCAGTTTCCCCTCCCTCTGCTGCTTTCTCCTCCTCTTCCTCCCACAGCACTAGATTTTTCATGCTTTTCCTTTCAACAAGAAATACAGGCATTTCCCCTCCTCCCTTCTCCTGCCCCCCCGCCTCCATTTTGAGGAACTGTAAAATAATCTCTTCACTGCTTTCCCGCTTTTTTTCTGCCCCTGATTTTTTCTTCTTCACTACAGTTGGCCCTTGCTGTTGCATTTTTAAGCAGACACATTTGCATCTCCACCTGTGAGTTTCTATGGTCTGGTTCTCGCCGTCTGAGTTCAGAAACCAGAACATCTGCTGGAAGATGCTGTTACCAGAAATCCAGGACTCTGAATGGAAGCAGCTGGAAGTGCTGCTGCTCTTGGTAGTGTGACAGGAGCTTGAATACTTTGTTGGGAGTGATATGACTTCTGATCATGTTTCGTTTTAGTTCTGGGTATGTCACTTGTAAATGTGTGGCCCCTTTCCCGTTTCAAGCCACATCAATAGATCTCAATAGTTTCTTTAAAATCTTTTTAAAAATCCCTGATGTTTTAGATTATATATGTCTGTTTAGAGACACCAACCATTTTCTTGACACTCTGCTCAGCAAAGCTAGTGGTGAACTGCTTCTTAATTGCCCCTTCACTGCTTTCTATGCCAGAAGTGAGAGGTGAGAAGTTCCTAAATCCTAGTTTCTTTCCATTATAGTAACATAACTTTAATCTGTGGCAAATAGCAGCTGAGTTAGAGCATAGTCTTAACAGGCCAAGATGGCCGACGGCCTGAGGTGAGGGTGGGGGAGCTCCACTCGCTGCCAAAAGCAGGTGGTGTGCTAAATGTGATACTTTATAGCAGCTAGAAGAGGAGTTAACATTAGCAGTGGTGGCAGCAGGGGAATATTCTTTCATTTTACTCCTGCGCATTGCCAAACCTTCCTCAGCGCTATACCTTTTCACCCATTGTCAGGGACAGGGAGGAGAAAGTTCAGCCAGTTGCGAAAAGGCCAGCTGTTGTCCTAAGAAAAGGTCATCCTATCATGGCCATCAGCTTCATCCCCAGCACCCCCACCCCTCGCTCTTCGACAGTGTGCCAACTGCAAGAGTCTCTTCCTGTCTTGCTTCTTCACTGATGGTGTCACTGATGGATGGGTGGATGACAATGAGACTATAATGCCAGCAATGTTACCACCTCTTCTGGCTCCTCTGGAGAGTCATAATTTTTTAAGAGCTCTGAGGGAGGTGCAACAAGTTATTTTTGTTCCTGTCAGAAGCACTCCGGTGGTGCTTCTGCAGTGGAATGGTCAGGCAACAGGGTGCTATTGTTGCCCAGTGGATGCCTGAATGTATTCACGGTCCTTACATTCTTTGAGGAGGCTCCTTCCTTGTTGTGCCTCATCAATCCTCTCCACCCACTCCTTTTCTTCTTTCGCAAATGCCACAATAAATGTTCTCCTTGGGGAAAAAGAACAAAGATATTATTTTGTGCCAGTGGTGAGCTTCTATTTATAGAACAGGGTAGTAGCTGACTATATCCTAGCATTGCAGGATAGTGTTTATTGAAGGATGGGAGACAGTGAGCTATTTAAAAGGGTGGGATGGTAGTGTTGGCCAAAGAAAGATTATGGCAATACCTTTAATGGGCCAAGTTAAGAGTTCACAAAATACTATGCACAATTTGGGATCCTCCAGAGCTATTCATCAGGCAGGAGGATAAACAAAGCGAAAGTGCGAGTGGGAGAAAGAAAAAGGGTGGCTGATGTTTAAGTCATGGAGTCTGCCTCTCCTTACAGTTTTAAGGGGAGAAGTGGGAGAAGACCAAGCTCAACTTTGCGGAAACCAGGAGCCATTAAGAAAAATGGATAATTCCACATTTTCTGAAAATATAGTTGTTACTAGTCAACTTAGAACCCTCTCCATCCTTTGATGAAACAAACGAAGAAAGCAGTAGATACAGCAAATGAGATTGGTTTCGTACTGCATTGGTGTAGGTGTTTATTATGTCAGTTCTCATAGCACCACCTCACAAGAGTATCTAAAAATGCGTGTGTACGTGGGTTCAGGCTTTCTCTCCCTTGGTTCCAAAGGCCCAATGCTATCAGCACCATGCACAACCAGAGCCGTAGGATATTGTAAAGATGGTTTATTTCATCGTTGTGTGCACAACAAATTCTGTTGGTCCGATGGTGCCCTCAACTTGGGAGCAGTCTGTCCAACCCTAAATGCAATTCAAGTGTCAGGAATGAAGTCTTCAGTGTGGGTATACTCCAAATCTCTTCCAGTCAGTGGGCTTCCTTTGGAGTTCGCTGCAGCTGGCTCAGATAGTCCCACAACAGGGGTGTCAAGCCAAGTCACTCTCCTTCTTGTGTCATAACTGGGGAAAAAGTCGATTCTATATGCCCCTCCTTCTTCCAGGGACCTTTCCCTCTTGGGTATACATATACTGTCCATCCCAACAGCTCAGCTCCTTCCAGTTGTACTTCTATCCCTTCACACTCACGGCTTCTAGATTCACCCCTTCCTCTTTGACCCCCGGGCTTGTACTTGGGTATCAGCTGATAATTCTGCCTATTTTCTATCTCGTCCAGAGGGAGATTCATGTGCACCTTCTCATGCGACCATGGCTCTTCTAACTCTAACCATCCCCATCCAATTGTGGTATCCTCCTCTTTCAGCTTCTCATGTTTGTCTCCTCTGTTTTCCTCTGCCTCCTTCTCTTTTATCTCTCTTCTCCAGTACTCTACCCCTTTCCCTCTTCTCAGTAGTCAAGAAGCTCTCTGTGATTGGTGGAACTCCTCCCACCATCGCCTTCCTGCTCTGACTCCCTTCAAATCTTCCACCAGTATACTGTATCTTCAGTTGGGACACTGGGTAAAAGGGAATAGACCGTCTCGAATCCTTCAGCCTTAGACAATGGAGGGGATGGCTCACTTCTGGGCCTTGTGCCTGTCTCCTGCTCTAATTCACAGCAAGCCAAACTGAACAGTCTAAATCAGCAAATAAGGAAGAGGTCTTCTGTAAAGTCAGTGGTTGCTGGATAACTTCGTGGTTTAGGTCTCTGTGGAGCCAGAGGCTGGGAGTTTGATTCCCCAATGTGCTTCCTTGACAGGGGCTGGACTTGATGATCCATAAGGCCCCTTCCAGCTCTGCAGTTCTAAGATTGTTATTATTCTAAGATTATTATTCAAGAACAAACCAGCCTCAAATCCTTTCCATTACAAGGACATCTTGCAACCATAAACTGCTCCTGAGGAAATGCATTTCCTTCCCAGCTACTGTGAAGATTGCAGGACTCTGAGCAAACAGGGAGGGAAGGCTGAAGGGTGGTGTGAGAGGACAGCGTAATCCCTGCTGCTCAGAAAGATCTGGGGCTTCAGCCTTGTGAACCCTGGATCTAGTACAACACTGTAAAAGGTAGAGATAATTTTGGATGGCATACTAGATTAAAACAAACTCAGTAGAAGACAAAGTAGTCAGCTGTACTTAGTAACTGGAGAATAAAGTCCTAAGTTAACATTATAAGGAATTTGGGAACAGAAAATTGTCATAAACAGAGATGGGCAAATTACTCATCCATGCTTTTCTAGCTATTGCTGTTCACACTGTCTGTTTGTTTTCCATTGAGTTTCTCTACAAATTCCAAAGGAATGGCTCCTTTAACAAATCTTTCAGAAGCTTTACTCCCTTCAAAGAAGTCCCAAGTTTAGACCCTGGCACTCCCCACCTTCCTTGGCTGGGATAGACGCGTACCTTAAGCCAATCAGGATATGCGGTCATTCCATCTTGCTGGAGTGATATTGACTTATCCTGTCCCTTGCAGAGGACCAGTTCTGCTGGCCTTAATCGGAAAAAAAAGGAGAAACCAAAATACAGGGTGTTGTTCTGTCATTTGCTCCAGGACTACAAAGAAGAAAAAGAATGGTGTAACTGACTGTCTGATCCAAGCGGGCAGAGTCTTCAGACAACTGTTTCCTTGACCGTTTTTCCAGGTAAGTACAGTTAAGGTCATAGAAAGGAACACTAAGTTATTTGAAAGGCAGGGGAGCTTAGGCTTGATGTTAGCCCTATTCAGGCATTACTTAGGCAGGTAGAATCATCATTTTCAGAAGAGAGGGCTGTCCCCTACCCTACCCCGTCATGGCATTCTCCAGCTGGGATGCAATGTGTTTGCAGAACAAATATTGTTGGTTATGTGTAAGCTTTCCACATGAGCAAGAATCCCAGAAAAACTGGGGTTCTTGCTTGCACGCAGAGCCTGTGTGGAAGTAGAAAGTCTCCCCTGCAGATATGCCACTTGGGAAAGCAATGGCAGTGGTGGAAGGGAGAAACATTCTTGTCTAATTATGGTGATCCAATCCATGCAACTAATACCTGAATAGGGCTTTTTTCCCACTTGAATCCTAAGGCTGGCTGAACTTGAAGATTCTCCTCGCTTAGACCTTCTGAGCAGCTGCAGATAGTAAAGCTGAAATGGCAACGGTGGCTGCTGCACTTCCCTTTCTCTCCTCCCTGGGTTTGTCCTGCAAAAGAGAAGGCAGTTTACAGTGCTTGGAAGCAGTGATTTACGAGCCATGTAGAAGTTCCTTGGGCATAATGATGTTACATTTCGAAAGCAACATAACAAACAGGAGTTAGCTTAATTTATTGATCTGATGAATAATGTTTCCTTCTTACTTTTATAGTTACTCTACAGGATTTTTTTTTCAAGTTTTCTGTCATTCTTTTATCAATCTAATGAGCTTTTTTTCTTAAAAAAAGTTTTTCCTCTCTCTTATGAAAAGTCATGGAAAAGTAGTGAGCAATACAACCAGCCACTTTTGGAACTTTTCATGGTGGTGATAGTTAAGTTGATCTGTCACAGAAGAAACAAGAAAGCATCTTATGGCACCTTGATGATGATGAGCCTTCAAATTCATTCTGACTTATGGCAACCCTTCCCAGGGTTTTCAAGGTAGGGAATACATAGACATGGTTTAGCATTCCCTTTTTTGTGTTTATATGGGGGGGGGCAGCTCTGGGCCTATGTGGCTTCCACAAGGTCTCTCAAGTTGGCTCTACTCCCAAGAGGTACAATGGGGAATCAAACTCCCAGCCTCTGACTCCTCTCTCTAGCCAGCTTAAGGAATGACAAAGTTTCTTTCCAGAAACTCCTTGACATTTTTTTTTGCACCTGATTAAGTGGGCTGCAGTTTTAAAACCCTGTTAACAGCTAGAGATTACTTCGCAAACCCTCTAAGGACAAATGGGCAGAAATTACTTTTTAAAAATAACTTTTCAAGCTCTGGCCTTTCACATTTCTTTGGCTGTGTTCCCTTTAAATTGTCCCTGTCTGTCTTTCCTGGTCCTCACACAAGTGGCTAATGCATGCTTTCTGTGGCAGCCTGGTTTGCGCAGGAAAAGAAACCTTCAACAACAACGTACTTTGGGGGAGATGCCTCACCATTTACATAAGAAGGCTGCTAATTTGATGAGGATTGGTGTTGTGATAAATTTGGAAAGAGCTGGTGCTCAGCATATTAGTTAGTCCAGTTAATCCCCATGGCCAGCCTCCCAAGAACCAGGAGATTCCAAAACCGCAGGCAGCTGGATCCATCCATATCAGCCAATGAGGAGGAGGTCTTTTATAATTCTAATGGCTCCTAATCACCCAATTTTTAAAATTTTAATTTTTTTATTTTTTGCATTACAACCGGAATATCTCTGCAAGCCCTGGCTCCATTATTCTCTTTAAGCTTAAGCTTAAGACCAGCTTCTTGCTGGATTCATTTCTCTGCCGCCTCTAAAATGAAAAGATTCAAAAATAGCAATTAAAATATCTGAGTTTTATTCTGAAGCTGGTAGTGATGGTATTGGTAATAGTGGACATAGCAAGAAGCACTGGATATCTTAAAATGTTAGGTCATTTCTTTGTTAGGACTTTCTCAAGCATCTCCAGTTCTCCATGCCCCAAATTCTGGCACCTTTTTGTAAGTCTCCTTGCAAGTTGGTGTTCATGTTGACTGAACCCTCCAAGTGATAAATGGGCATGGTAATAGAATTATTCATTGAAAGAATAAGGAGGCATTTTAGAGAAGTGTGAAAGTTAGTGATGACATGCATGATTAGTTAGTCTGTTTCCAAAAACAGCAAATTGTGCTCGGTGGGACACATCCTGTCCCCCACCTGACAAGCCATTAAATGCAAGTCACAACGTGAAGATTTATGGGAAGCAGAATTTCAAGACATAAGAAACCATGGAACACTTGTTCTGTCATGTTAGATAGCCTGCTACCAGTGGAGATGGATTATAGCGGCAGGGATAAATTGGTGCTAAGGCATTAGGAAGTATTTTATCTTAAGGTTTGTGTTCTTTGGTTACTTTTCAGAAAAATAACTGTGGAAATTCTATTTCTGTAAATGCAATACATGGAATGTGCCTACACACCATTCCTGTGGGCTGGCTGCAGGTTGGATTAGATTAGAACAGTGATGCCAAGGACGGGCAGACAGAAAGAAAATAGCAAATTCTAAGCAAGATTTCATCTTACTTATCTTTTCTAAGAACTTAGTGCATGCCCTATGGTTTTATATATCAAATGATAACCACTGTGGTGTAGTGATTAGATTGCTGGATTGGGTCTAGTTCTCAATGAGCTCTAAAACTCACTGAGGACGACTTTGGGAACATTTGTGCTTCTGAGGCTGCCACTACCTTGGCAAATAATACCAGATTTGATGGTTGTTGTACGTATTTTGGGCTTTTTCAGCATGTTCCAGAACACAGCCAAGCAGCCCAAAAAATCTACAACAACCATCAGATCCTGGCCGTGAAAGCCTTCAAGAATACAATATGGGTTTTTCCTGCAGAAATAAAACGGATGAATGCAAACTTTTTTCAACTGATCACATGACACAAAAAGGCCAATGCAAACCACCCCTTTGCTTCAGAGGTGGAGTTTTTCCACCTCTAGCTGGGGGCTTCTACTTTTTGAAAGTTGGAATGATTTGAATGGTGTTTTCCCTGTATGATCAGGTCTTTCATTATCTAAAAAGATGGGAGGGCATGATTGTGAGTGGCATTCTGGCGATATGCTAAACTGGGTGTGATGTTTTGGACATTGAGAACACCCACCCCTGCAGTCTCTCTCCCTAGACACTCCAAAGTATTTCAGATTTTAAAAGAGATAAAGGTCAATATTAAATAGAAACAGCTCTGGCAAACCAGAGCAGATTGGAATGTTTCCACAGTATGTATGTTTATATTTGTACATTATGGCAAACTCTGGGAAACTGTCCCTTTTCTCTAACACCATGCAACACTTTAAACAGCCCACTGGCTTGGCAATGAAGCATAAAAGCAGAGTCAGAGGTCGGCAGAAGGCATAATCAAAGGGAGAGGGGCTGTGGACTATGGTGTGGATTGAACCATATTGGATTGAGGGGCCAGTGTGAGCATTGGCATAGAAAAACCGCACTCTCCGTGCGATCACCTAATTCAAACAGAAGCAGAACACAGGCTGCAAATCAAGCCAGAGCAAAGCCAAATTTGAAGTGTGCTCGCAGTCTGAGCTTGACTTACTTTACAGAGTTACAATGGGGATGAAGTCAGGAAGAGGTGAACCATGTGTGCCAATTTGAACTCGCTGGAGGATATTACATGTGAAAACTGACGCCCCTTTTTGGACAACTATGGTGAAAGAAGAGAAAAAATTAAAACAAGACCCTGTATGACTTGTTACCAACTATCATGATTAGTATCCTCATATTATCCACAATTCCTATGAAAACTGTTAGCTGTATCAAAATTCAATGATGATTGGCTGATTCAACACATTATATTATACAAAAGAAATTGATTCCTCAAGGAAGGGATTATTTTGCATGGTGTCCTCACACCCTAAGTACCCTCCCTCTGCCCTATTGCTTACACTGAGCAAATACAGTATATCTCATTGAGATAATTCTTTCCTTGCGTACAAAAGCTGAACTACAACTGCATCAGGCTCAAGTAGATGACAGACGTACCCCACGCCATTAGAGCCAGAGTTCCTTGTAGTGGCAACAAATACTTGAGTCTCCTAGCATAAACTTGCTTCACTTTGCATTTTGCAAATTTAGCTGGTTCTATGATTATTTCACTGTTTTTACTATATTGGAAGCCACCTAGAGTGGTCTTTTAGACCAGATGGGCGGGGTATAAATCAAATAAATAAATAAAAAATTAAAAAATAGTTATTGGGAAGTAAACCTGGTCTTCATTTGCTAGTTTAATAGTACCAGGAGGGAAAATGTTCCAAAACAGGACCTATGCTGTAACAGCAGGAAATCACATTTCCTGTAACATGTGATTCAGCCATGCGATTTGTAGACCAAAATCTCAACAGGGTTTGAAAGAGAGAGAGAGAAGGGTCAGGGAGAGGATTTTTGGACTTGGAATAAAGCAATCAGATGCTTACCCTCCTTTCTTTTGCAATTTCCAGGGGTCTACCACATGCGTTTTTTTAAAAAGGGTTTCCAAAGTATATTTAGAACACCAATTGGGGAAGTAAGTAGAAATGGCTTTCCCTCAGCTTCTCTATTGCACAGATCTTCTCTTCCTGAAACGTTAGCTATGTGCATCTCATCATATAGGGAGGCCAGCTTGTTCAGTCTTTCTTACTAGATTGTGTGTATCTCTTTATTAGGTCTTAGGATTTCCCTTTCTCATTTGAATCTAAGGTTGAGGTAAGGAGCCATGGACCATCCAGATGTTTTGGATTTCAACTCCCAGAAACCACAGTCTGCTTGCCTTCTGGGCATGGGCAGCAAAAACAGACATAGTTAAGTGCTGCATCTAATAATATTATTAATAATAATTAATCATTTGTTACAAAAATAACTGTTTATCACTTTCACACTCAGTATTTAGGGGGGAAATGTGAGCAGTTAAGGTTTCTCCTTAAAACATATGGAGGGCCAATGATTTGCTCCTCCTGTTCTTAAGAACTTGTGTTCCAGTACCTTTGACTATTCTGGATATATTCCCACTGTGATCAATGGGAATAATTTGGAAGCCAATAGTCAGAAATGTGTTGCTTGGCCTAGTAAATTGCACTAGATTAGGCTCATTGCATTCATAGGGATTGGAGGAGTCAACTCCTCCATAAATTCCATTGATTCAAATGAGCCTACTTTAGTCGTGACATACTTTGCAACCGGAGGAGACCCCTTTGAATCAATGGAATTTACAGAGGAGTTAACTCACCAAATACCCATTGATTCTGTGTAATATTCTAGTGTGATTTGGATTTGGGCAAACATTTTGGAGAGTGACTTTGGTGATAGAGGCATTTCAAAACATGTAGCCTATTTCACATTAGCACAATGCTAGAATGGCCCCAGAAGATACATTTAGCTGAACTTTGTAATTTTTTTTCAAAGATGAAGTACACAGCCTGCAAGGAGGATCCCCAAGGTGTACAATTTCACACTGGATAGAACATCTAGCTCCTTTTCTGCACTTAAAGCAGAAAAGAAATGCTGCAGAATAAAATCTGACCATTAATTGGGACAAGTGCTCTTTACTTACAAGGTTATCCCTGCTGTGACACCCTTTGCGGCAGATCAACTTTCACAGGGAGAGAAAGGGGGGGGGGAGGTGAGGAGAGACCAATAAGACATCCAACAATTGGACTCACTTCACACTTTTGAGAACTACGATGGCAGGCTGCTACGTTTCAGATGAACTCTTCTTATTCTTTTCGATTTTTTTGCAGCGATACAGTTTGTGATGGAAATGGACCAGGAACCAAGAAATATGGTACTGTGTGAATAAAAACTGATCTAAACTTTTTGAATTTGGATTAGGGACATTGAAATAGCCTGTTTACAGGAAAGTGGGGATGGGGGGGAGAGGGGAGGGAAAGCAAAGTGTGCTGCTTATATACCACCCCTTAGCACATAAGCATTATCTGGGCGGTTTACATTTTAATGATGCAGGCTACACATTGCCTCTGTAGCAAAGTGGGTACTAATTTTACTGACCTTGGAAGAACAGAAGGTTGAGTGAACTTCGTGCCAGCTACTTGAACCCTTTGGTATCAAACTCAGATTGTGAGGAGAATCTTGACTGCAGGACTGCAGTTTCACCACTGCCCCACAAGGCTCCATGCATTGGGTTGGAACCATAGAAAGGATGGTGGAAAACCACTCTATTCTATTTTTCTTTTCCCCATTTTTTTTTAAAAATTATCCTACATAACACAAGCTTGACTGTAGTACTACAGTTTAACCACTGTGCCATGAGGTGCAGGTTGTTGTTGTGCAGTTTGTCTTTTTTTAAAGAAAACCAACAATCTGTGCTTCAGGTGACCATCCAAAGAGGGGTGGGAACCCCAGGAAGGGGGATCACACATTGGCTGCATGTCTTAAAATTCATTTTTGCAGCCCCACTGTTGCGTACCTACCCCCTGCCAACACCAAAAGGGAAAATCATACCTTCAGAACTCTCCACAGGACAAACTTCTCGTCTGACCCTGCCCCACCTTCTTTTAGCCAAAACAAAAACAAAACCCCAGCTCAGTTTTTTAAAAAAAAACTAGGAGTGACATTTTGGTTTTGATGAAAGGGTAAAAGAAGCTGGTCCGTTGGGATGGATAGGTTACTACTAGAGATGAACATAAAGTAGAAAAAATGTGATTTTTTTTTATTTGTGATTCATTGAGGTCAATTGTAAGTTTTTTTCCTGACAAATCCATAGATAGATTTATCAATTTGTTCTTTACTTTAAAGTCCTATGAAAATCCCTCCCAAGCCAAATTCACAGGGACGTGTCCCTTTGCTCTCCTCTACCATCCCTCAAAGTTTGGTGAAGATTGGGTTTCAGACATCCAAGTTGTACACCCACAAAATGGGTCCCCCCAGGAAATTGCCCCTTAATAGTTGGCTTACACCCACAAAATGGGTCCCCCCAGGAAACTGCCCTTTAATAGTTGGCTTGGGGAAACCCAATCTTCACCAAACTTGGAGGGATTGTAGAGAAGAGTCAGTAGAAGCTTCTCTGTGATTTTAGTGTCTCTGGGTGCCTGGGGGGGAGACTTTCTGGGCGGCTAATTGTGGGTGTATAACTCAGACATCTGAAACCCAATCATTAATCACAATCATTTGTCAGCATTATATCCACAAACAAGGATGGGCCTTTAATTGACACCTTCCAGCTCAGACATCTGAAACCCAATCTTCATTAATCACAATCATTTGTCACCATTATATCTACAAACAAGGATGGGCCTTTAATTGACATCTTCCATAAAATAAATAGGATCAGTGCCATCCTGGGTATTTAGACTGTGCCTTAAACCCACTGTGGTACCATGTCCATCCACACCATTGCAGGGAAGCCTGCACAATCTGTGACCCTCTTATAACCAGATGATTTAGGGTCTCAAACCTTATGCAGATATAGTGTCACTTTTGCACACAGAACCACTGAACTGCCATTCATTCCAGCATAATGCAGATCAAACACATTTCCAGTACGTTATTCCTGCTTAACTTTACATTGCTATTGTACTGACTAATCCTTTTTCTTTCTTCTTTGGCACATTTAAAAATGGACTAAGAGTCCAGTTTATTACCGTACCATTGTGCATATTTTGTTAAATGTTTATGACAAAACAATGAGGCAGAAAGCACAGGATTAGAGAGAGCATCTCCCTTCCAAAATCTTTATTTTGACTTCGATCGGCCTTTCCTTTCCAGTTAAAAATGACCTTCATACTGCATAAATGTTACAGGAGGAACAGCTGTCTGTTATATATTTTGCCTGACCCCTACAGAACTTGACCTTGGAGGCCCTCTTCAGACCAGGTGAAAGAAGTGCCTTGCATTCACCAGGTGCTATAACAACTAGTACACACATTTTCAGACTTTTTTCTTTTTTCCTTTCCAATTCATATATATTGATGTTTCTCCAATCGTAATAGGAACCCACAAATTCCAGAAGTCAGAAGGAACAATGGGGAGGGATGTAGACAGGAGAGAATTTTTCTGTGAAGGGACACTGGTTCAGTCCTGATTTTAAAAAAAAGACAAATACTTTAAAGGCACTCTTTTTCTTAAATCTACTAGGTGTAAGTCTGTTCTGAACCACTACTTCGAACTTGACACCAACCTGACTTTACTTTTGAGATACAACTCTTATAAGCTCCCCACCAGCATGCCCACTGAGTCCAACAAAATAACTTTTTGAAGATCAGTTCCAGTTCGTGAATCTTGAAATTCTGCAGGGAAGGCAACCAATATAGATTTCAGAAGCCAGATGTTTGCTTACCCTTGATTTAGGATCTTGTCCAGGCCTTTCGACATTATGCTGTTTTCTGTCATGATAGATTTTGAACAGCAGATGTTCATCATGACAGCCTTTGTATCTTGGCTCTAAGGAGAGTCTAAGAATGCAGGCAAATCTGTTCATCAACCTTTGTGTGGGAGTATGTACAGGTATATGTTTATGCATAGATTTCAGGATTTTCAAGGAGTTTTGTTTACTGATGGCAAAGAAAAATAAAATAATTTAATAATGGAATTGGACTCATAGAATCAAATAAAAGTGAAGTTGGAAGGCGCCTACAAGGCCATTAAGGCCAACCCCCTGCTCAGTGCAGGAATACAATCAAAGCATATCTGCCAGGTGATTATCTAAGTTTTTCTTGAATGCCTACAGTATTGGAGCACTCACCAACTCCCGAGGTGACTGGTCCCACTGTCGTACTGCTCTAACAGTTAGAAAGTTTTTCCTGATATTCAACCGAAATCTGTCTTCCTTTAACTTGAGCCCATTGTTGTGTGACCTGCACTCTGGGATGATCAAGAACAGATCCTGCCCCTCCTCTGCATGACAGCTTTTCAAATATTTGAAAAGAGCTACAGTATCATATCACCCCTCGGTCTTCTTTTCTTGAGGCTAAACATGACTAATTCTTTCACCCTTTCCTCATAAGGCTTGGTTTCCAGCCCCCTGATCATCCTTGTCACTCTCCTCTGAACTTGTTCCAATTTGTTGGCATCCTTCTTGAAGTGTGGTGTCTAGAACAGGACACAATACTCAAGGTGTGGCCTAACCTATTAAAGAGGGGGACTAGCACCTCACAGGATTTGGAAACTATACTTCTATTAATGCAGCCTAAAATAGCATTTGCCTTTTTTTTGTAGCTACATCATACTATCGGCTCATATTTAGCTTCTGATCTACGACAATTCCAAGATCCTTCTTGCTTGTAGTTTTGCTGAGCCAGGTATCCCCCGTCTTGTAACTGTACAATTGGTTTCTTTTTCTTGGGTGCAGTACTTTGCACTCATCCCTGTTAAATTTCATTCTGTTGTTTTCCACCCAGTGCTCCATCCTATCAAGGTTATTTTGAATTTTGTTTTTGTCTTCCAGGGTATTAGCTATTCCACCCAATTTCTGTGTCATCCACAAATTTGACAAGCATTCCCTGCACTCCTCATCCAAGTCATTAATAAAAAAATATTGAAGAGCACTGGGCCCAGGACTGAGCCTTGGGGTACCCCACTTGTTACCTCTTCCCAGTTAGAGAAGGACACATTAATCATTACCCTCTGAGTACAATTCTGTAGCCAATTGTTTATCCACCTGACACGATCTATCCAGCCCACACCTAGTTAGTTTGCTAATCAGGATATCATGGGGCACTTTGTCAAAAACTTTGCTGAAGTCAAGATATATTAGGTCTACAGCATTCCCTCTGTCTATCAGGGAGGTTACCTGATCAAAAAAACAAGATAAAATTAGTTTGGCAGGATTTGTTCTTAA